CCGTGTCGCCGTTTGTTTCGTGGTCGCAGATATACACGTCATGAGCTTGGCAAAATCTCACTAGATGCCAGACCGTTGTTTTGTAGGTGCACTCGGATACTACAAGTCCGTCCATAGATAACGACCACACACTTGATGAACGTAACATGAGGACTTTGAAAATGGGCACCGCTAATGTCTGATGAGGGGTGATGTATCTTAGCTCAATATTTCGCCTTTTTCAAACCCTGTTGAGTCAACCAAATGAGGTGCTGACAGCTGTGAAGTGTATGATTCAACCCGACCACCTAGCACTGTAGCTCTGAACCTATTCGTAAAGAGTCCCGAAGCACTATCTAGCACTGCAGTAGAAGTCAAAGTACCGTCACTTAGGTCTGACAAAGACCCGAAGTTCATGGTCAATAAGAGCCCAGTAGATATAGATCTTTCATGAGTTTTGGTTTTCACCACTCACCATACTGTTTAAACAATCGTGTGACGCCAATACTGTGCAAAATTCGATGTTTGCGCTTCATGTGACCTAGACGGTAAACCTGCGGTGTAGTTGTGTGTTTCGCCAGAAAAACGACGTTGCTACCCATTTGCCAAGAAAACAATCCCAGGATTATTAACCACTGTTCAATCATAGGTACTCCTGCGTCGATTCGATAATGAACGATCTCGATGATTTTTTTGCACATGTTGATGGGGTATATTGCTTCCTTTCACTTACGTTCCCAACCGACAGCCAGTTCATGAACCTCGTCTCGAAATACAGCCTCGAGACACCTAATCTTGAAGCCTTTTACGTCCTGAATATCACTGTCTACTGATTTCCCGCTGGCTGTACTACTTTTGGGCTCCGAACTCAAAGGTTTTCTCCCCACTAGATGATGGTCCTTGTCCATGATTGGTTCAGTGCCCAATTTCTGAAAACATCAGACTGAAAACTTCAGTCTCGTTCATGAGCGTCACTCATGCAAACCACTTAGTTCCCATAATTCCTGCTACTTTGACGGTTACGAATAAATGTCACGGGCACGACTTACCTCGACGTATGTTTTCTCGCACCTTTACCATCCCTCCCACTTCCTTATGGAACTATCCGTTTTTTCTCACTGTAGCTAAAAGGTGGCTGAATCGACACATTCGGACGACTTTATCATGCAACGTGAAGACGTTTACGATATGCAGGGCCTAATGGGCTCATTCAACAGGAACCTGTGTATGTTTGGTATGTGTTTTACAGCTGTGAAATGTAGGATGATGCGTCGTTACTGGCATGTTGCTAGTACTCTTTGTTTAAGGATAGGGAGTAAAGTGGTGGAATAAGTTGACCACTTCACTCGTTTGGGGTCTGCATCGGCTGCAACGAACTGGTGGCTTACGAAATTTCGGCTCGGGAGCAGAGAACTCCTTGAGCTTTTGCCGACTGGCGTAATCTGTGGTGCCGACCGGCGAGAGAGCCAGTTATTTATCAAACGACGAGTGAACTGCTCTTTGGTTCATTCCATCTTGCTATACGGCTGTGAGGCATGGACGTTAAGAGCAGAAGATGTGGAGCGGCTGCTGGGTTTTCGTCATGTGTGTGTTCGTAACACTAGCCGCTTTCCGTGGAGTCACCGTGTGAGCAACCTTGAGATCACGCAGATGATAATGAGCAAAACATACTGGCCGATAGATAAAGCTGTGACCCTTAGTCGACTGAGATGAATCGGATATGTGTTGCACATGCCGTTACCGCCCAGCTCAACGTGCTATGCTGAGAAAAGTTGCATCAGGTTGGAAGAGGGTTCTGAGCGATCAAAAGAAGGCGTGATATATATCCGTGAAGTTTCCCAATGTTGGTCCTAGTGGTGAAGACTACCTATCCTGGGCCTTTGAGACGACAGAAGTGATCAGTTGAAAGTCAGTCACAACTGTAGAACTACGTCTACTCTGACGTCTTCTGAAGCCTGAATGTTCTCAATAACCAGTATCTTCAGGCCTTCTATTTCCCCATACAACCTTGCTTACTTCGGTAGCACCTTTTTATCTACTTGTTCCTTTTTAGTTGCTGTAGAGTGCGGCAACTTGAACCGATGCACCTGTGTCTGAGGTTCTGCGTTTACCGTTTCTGTCCGACTGTTTGACTTGAGAACTGCCACTCGTGGTATCGCGGCGATTAAGGTCACGAAAAACATGCATTTCCTGGTAGCGGGAAGTTTTAGGATAGGTGGAGGACATTCAGGAGAAGCATACTCTTCCGCGACGAACGCACGTTCTCGACTAAGTCAAGAAGGTGAGATGGGCTCTGTAAAACTTTCATTCTTCAGCAATTCAGTTATATGGATGCCTCACTTAATGCCTAAAGTGTAATGGGGAATTTATCATGTCTAGTATCGGACGGGAGGGGACATCTTTGTGCGTTACAGATAGACTGAAGATTTGCTGCATGGACCAGTCTGATTTGGATTTTTTCGTTGAGCTCAAGGTAAATGAGTGTTTCATCTTCAGCGTCATGAGTGATCAAAGCTGCCTTAATGGTGGCGTATTGCGAGAATACCTACCTAAAAGTTTCGTTCCCACCAGAGGGTGCCAGTTGGGGATGTCTATTTAACTAGATTTCATCAACAGCACCTTTTCAATACCCTCGTCAGTGTATACCGTGAATGACCACTATTCTGCATGTCCTCAATGCATTTATTTATCTCCTAGACAAACGACACCCACCATTAAATCTTCCCTTTATACAGACTGAACAGATACTCAAAACAACCTACTTAAAACAGTCAAACTCATCACACCATATTGGATTAAAGTCATCCATTCGGTCAGTTGGATTCGCGGAGTGCTATTTCGCTTTAAGCCCTCAACTTTTGCCGTTGTTTTATGGAATGTTGTGCTAAGGGAAAAGATCTCCATTTGGCTCGCGGACACAGACACATTTGACAGCTGAATATATATTTTCTCGGCGGTTTCAATGTCTGTTGGCTTCGATCCTTTGTTTAGCTATAGGCCGATGTCATCAGCACGCCTCTTGGTGGTGGTAGCGAAACAGCTCTGAAAATATTTTATTTTGTTCCTAGATAATTCAGATAAAACATGGACATTCTGGGATAGATTTAGGTGCAGTTCTGTCAATCTAGCCTGGACAGCATCAAAGCAGTCCAGTGTGTTGCTTCAGAATGTGTGAATTAAAAGAAATATAACAGCTTCTGGAATTCTTCCAAAGCCTTTGGGACATCGATGTTCATCCAAATATTTCTTGAAGAAATAAATTGCGTTCGTTCCTGTCATACTGACAGAAAATGCGGAAACTCATCAAGTTGTTTCACCACCAAATGTTTCCAGCTGTTTGCCAAATATTCGGATGCATCCAACTGACCAAAAAAGAGGTAAGACGACCACAGTGACTGAATAGTTTTCCCTTCCATGAACCTATTCTCTCAGCTGTATATTCACAGATGGACAGCAGAAAATACAGTGCCTCTCCGAATACTTTCCAATCAAGTGTCAAAGTGTATCGCGAAAAGATGGAAAGTTGAGTAATACATAGGGACTGGGAATACTAAAACAAACAAATATTTACGTTATTCAACCTGGCTGTGTCGTAGGAAAAAATGTGGCAGTAAAGTTATTTTTAGCTGCATATGCCAGTTTTACTGGTGGTTACCTCAGGGCTCACTTCGGACGAGTAGTGTGAGGGTCACATGATCAAATGGCCTACCTTATTCCAAGGAGTTGACGACTAAAGGGTACATGGGTCCCGAGGGAGTTATTGGTTATCTACTCACAGAGGGCATGCACTTGACGGTCGAAAATCATCTTAGGTGATCATGGAATAGGTGGCCGAATTCGGTATGTTTTTCCGAAGCAGTGGCCCTAGCGTCAAATGCGAACTTATGCATTCAAAAAGAAACAGTTTCAGTCCTCCCTGAAGGTGAATATCTTCATTCCTGATGGCCACCAACTCTCTCACGCACCATTATTGTTTCATTCATCTCTATGATTGTTC